CGACCAGGTAGCAGCGTAGCTTGAGGAGCGGCCTCAGACGAGGGGGGCCGTTCATGACCGACAGGATGTCGGTGGGCTGCAGGGAGAAAACCTGCCCTGCACCGCCAGCGCGTGAAAACGGGCAGCAGCCACGCACGATGCGTTGACGTCCGCATTGCCAAGGGCCGGGCCTGAGCCGCGCAGCGCCATGGCGAGCGGGGCCGCCGAGGCGGCAAGGTGCAGCGCCTGGCACCGGGCCGAAGCCGCGCAGTGCCGGGCGCTGCCGCCATGGGAGGGGGGGAAGCGAGCGGGGGGGGAAGAAGCGAACAGGAAGGAGAAAGGCCAGCGCTCACCGTCAGCCGTCGACGTGCCAGCCTGCACCGTAGGTGCTCACGTGGGGGGAGCTGGGCTCCCACTGGGTACAGGCAGGACACACGGTCCGAGTGCACGTTAAAGACAGGTGGGGTGGGGTGGGGGGGGGCAGGCAACACAGTCGGGGACCAGGTGGACCAGCAAGCGGGCGCTGCGAGTGGACCGTGCGTGTCTCAAGTGTGCCGCTACTGCGCCCGTCAGGCTGCGCGTGCCTGCACCGTGCGCCCGACGTGGGCGCATGTGGGCTTCCAGGCTCGAGCATCAGCCTTTCCAGCCAAGGCTGTGGGGGAACAGGTAGGGGGGAACAGGAGGACACAAGGTCCCAAACCAGGTGATGGGGGAGGGGGAAGAGGGAACAGGTGGTGGGCGTGGCCAGCGGTGGGTAGGACCAGGACCTTGCCGCAAGTTGTTGGGAGCGTAAGAAGGCGGTCGCGGCGCGCTATGCCTGACAGGGGAGGCTCGGTTGCAGGCTGGTTAGCGCCTGGGGCGCTTCCCGGTCCAGTTGTCGTTGTACCCGGAGCTGCGTGCCTGGTCCTCCCCGCTCCCTTCACCTTTGGCAACCTCTCTTTTCTTTTGGACGTCCTGGTACAGGGTCTTCTCCCGGTCCCAGTCCACGTAGACGCCGGTGTTGCGAGACCACGTCCACGTGATGGTTGCCGCTGTCCGTATCTTCCAGAAATTTGGTCGATTATCTCGGGTTGCCAGCAGTTCGGGTCGAACGCGACCTGGTCTTTGGATTTGCCTTGGCCCTGCTCCTTACACATATGCCTGCACCACGAGTGCCAGGCTGCGGTGAAGTGGTATCCTCCCTCGGCCTGCAGCCTCTGCGGGTGTGTGACTGCTGTATCGTGTGAGCGGCGCTGCCAGCTGACGCGGAAGATTGTCCGCGGACGGCTGGGGTGAGGGTAGCGGCGGTCGTCCCTGTGGTGAGAGCTGCGTGGACCTTCTGGCTGGCGCCAGGGGGTCCACCCTGCGCCCCTGCCACTGTCGCGGTCCTGATCCCAGTAGCGCTCCCTGGTTCTGTCCCAGTCGTTGGTGTCTTGCTTGCGCCACGGTGCCCCCGCTACGCCTTTGTTGCGGTCGCGGTCGCGGTCGCGGTCGTGCTCTCCAGCACGGGCCCGGTCGCTGGTTTCTCTTGGACGTGCGCCTCACCGCAGTCTCGTACGACTCCCAGGGAACTGGATCCCGCGCCCTGCCGCGCAAGCGCTCTAGCTCATGCGCAGGGAGGGGGTTGAGTGCGGGGCGCCTGTCTTCCGGGCCTTTGGATCTGGGCCGCGTGTGCAGCGCTCGGTTGTCGGCAGCGGCCGTCAAAAACACGGTCGGTTCCGTGGGTGCGCAGGCTGGCTGGGTCTGGTATGTACTGCTTGAGTCGCGCTCGGGACTGCTGCGTCGTTCGTCGCGGGGGCTCAACCTGGCTTGGCCCTCCTCGACTGTGTCGGGGTCTGAGGATGGGGAAACCGTATGGACCGTGCTTAAGGCCTGCGCGAGCCTCTGCTTCCTCTTTTGTTCCTGGTCGTCGTTGGTCTTGTCGGGGTCCTCCACTTTAGGGTGCGCGAGGGGTGCAGGTTCGTAGGTGGGGTCTTGTGCGTCCGTGCGTGGCGCGCAAGGTTTGGGCTTGGAGTCGGGCTGAGTCCCTTCTGGGGACGTCGCGTTGGCGTCCCCGATGTCGGCGCCGAGCCAGGAGTTGGCGGGGGCCGCTGGCGCCTGCGCCCCGTGCGCCTCGTCGGAGGTCCTGCCCAGGAAGGCGGCTGCTCGGGGCGCTGCGTCGCCTCGGAGGACGTTCGCGCGTAGCGTCCTGGTACGGGCGCCCCAGACTTCCAGCCACTCGCTGTCGATCTGGACGATAAGGGTCCGCCCGTCCTGTTCGCGGGCCAAGACGTTCAGGACGGGTCCGAATACCGCTCCGTCCAGGGGTTGCGTGGGGAGGGGTTCGGTGCTGTCCGCTGAACTGAACCACCTGGCGCGGGGGAGGGTGTCGCTCCTGATGACCACGTAGTCGCCGCCCTGGATGCACGGGCTGTCCGTTGCGACCGGGCAGAAGGAACCCTGGGTGGGTGTGTCTGGGAGTCGCCCTTGCTGCCGTTCGAGGCGGCTGGGTTCCTGGCTCTCGGGGAGGGGATCAGGAGCCGCGCTGACGGCCGGTGGCGCCCCGACGGACTTGGTAGCTGTGGGTCGCGTGGCGAGAGGGGCCGGGGCCGGCACGTCGCCGCGCGGAGTGGGCGGGAGTGGGTCGCCACCGTGAGTGGGCGGGCAGGGTGTCCGGCGCTTTTCCTTGGCAGGCCTTGGGCGCTCAGCCTGGTTGGAGGTGTGGTCGGGGCGCGCGCCCGCTCGGGGGGCGGTGTGCTGCTGGGGCTCGCTGCTGGACGTGTGGCCGGCGGTTGGCTGAGCTGAAGCGGTGGCGCTGGGGTCTGTGTGCCTGACCCCCTCCGGTGTGAACCTCCCCGTCACCTTTGTCCCTGATCTGTGCCGCCACCTTTGCGTGCGTCTCCCTGGCCGCCAGCTGTCGGTCCCAGGCTAGGTGTTGCTGCTTGTCCTTGGGAGGTGGCGGGAGTGAGTTGTGGAGGCGCTCCTGGTAGCCGCGCGCCTCCTCGTCCCAGGCAGCGGCGCGCTCGGATCCGTCCGCTTGCGCCGCCCGCGAGCAGCGTCTGATGCGGTGCGCCGTGCAGGGGTTGCCTGCCAGTACGGGGGTCAGCTGGAGATTATACGGCGACGGTGCGAGAATGGTGCTGTTGGTCCTTCGTGCCCACGGTACGAGGGCCTTCGCCAGGGCAACCACTGTGCGTGCTTCGTGAATGTGGGCGTAGCCGTCCTGGATCGAGGACTGGGCCTCTTGCGAGGGGATGTGCGCAAGTATGAAGCGATGCTGGTTGTAGACGGTGCCACCGTTTCCCTTCGGGACCGTACAAGCTGCCTTGCTTCTGAATCCGCCTACGGTCCGCAGGGAGTCGTCAGGCCCGTATTGCCGTCCTCGTTCTTTGCTGCTTCGTATTCTTGGTCGGACAGAGGTCGTGCGAGCGGCCGCTCCAGCCCTTCGGCGCATGGTCGTTGTCGCATGGGGTCCAGGATGGCAGAGACTAGCCTGCCCCCGTAGAACGTGAGCGAGGGTTACGCGAGCAGGGGCGGATGGATCCGATAACACTCCTCCAGAGTGACGTTGCACTCGGGGATGTCCCCTATGGCTGTCACGTACTTGGCGAGAATGGACACTCCTAGCCCCCAGCGCAGTGCCTGCTGGGATTTGATCGTCGGGCACAGCTGCCGCTCGCCGCCGAAGAGGACCGTTCTGGCCCCGCATCTGACAGCGTGGTTCAGGGACATGATGGCCATGGGTTCGGGCGTCTGTCCTGCCTCGTCGAGGAGACATATGAGGAGCTTCTTGTCCCAGAGGTCGGCTCCCGCCTCGTGTGTGGCCAAGATAAGTTTTGCTTCCGTCGCGACTTCCGCTCGGAACATGTGGAACCAGTTCGCATGCCCCGTGGTGACCTCGCCCTCCGAAGTGTTGTGCATCTTGGCGTACTTGGCGACGGGGGTGATCTTCTAGGCTACGTTGCCCTTTATTTTGTCCTCGTGTGCGAGGCGCGCGGCCAGGCGAGGGAACAGGTCGTTGTTGGCTGGGTTCAGGTTCTTCCCGATTTGCTCTGCCAAGTTGTCCATGGATCCGTCGGTGCCGCCAAAGCACCCTGCGCCCCGCCCTGGGGCGAGGCGCGACATGTAGGCGTCCGCCACGCAGGCCGCGACCTTGGTCTTCCCGGTTCCAGGCGGCCCGTGACATAGGGTAAGGAGGGAATTCTGGGTCGCGAGCACGCAGCGCCGCTGGGCGTTGATGGTGTGGTGGAGGTAGCAGGTGCGCTGCAGGTGCTCCTCCTTATGTGGCCGGCAACAGTCGTT